AGATATATCTCGTTTTTTGAACCAGGCTGTAAACATGTTGATTCCTGTGGTAAAAACCGGCTTTTTTGGCTGTGGGCTTATGGCACTTCCGGCGCTTCTGCAGCCAGCCTCAAGTGGAACCTCGAGGAACTGCAGTTTTTTGTACTTCCCCTTGGTCATGAGGCATTTGAAACAGCAGGATAAAATACGGTGATTTAAAAAATACTCAGATAATAATTTATTGAAATATATTGGGGCAGATAAATTAACATTTTACACAGAAACGCTTGATTAAAACTGGGGAAATGTATATTTCATCGCTTGAAGTTATATTCATTTATTGATCAGTAACCTTCTAAGACTCTCTTGTACTGCATCATTCATAATGTGCCTAATCAGATACAGTGGGTACAAGGACGGTTATTGATTACTTAGAATATCCGGAGATTTCTAAACACATGAATGCAGAGCGATAAAATCAACAAGGCGTGACAACTTTCATGCACTGTGTGACGGGCAGAGCTGTGGCACACATACAAATGGTCTGTTTAAGTGGCTGGACAACGATCCACAGTCTCTGACAGATGCTAGTCAGGAGATCTGGGAGGGGTGCATGTGAAGAATTCATTTTGAAGACTTGAATTTCTTTAGGAAATCAAAGAATGTGTGAGACCGAGGTGATGGGTTATGTCGCTGACAGGACGCCACGGGGAAGGAGAAAGAGAAGTCAGAGAGGATTTGATTCAACGCTGTGTGTTCGTGTTTACAGAAGAGCAGGACATTGTGGCTCGGAGGAGGAGGAGGCTTGTCCGTTAACATAACTTCATCATGATGGCCTGTTGTCGCCCGGACTGACCACAGCTAGATAATGACGTAAACAAGCAGTCCAGCACTCGCCATCCATCCAGAGAGGCTGCTATGAGTCAGTAAGGCCAGCTCTTCCATGGGTCCTGAAGTTTGACTTGAAGCTTAAACAATCTCTCAGTTATGTTTGAGGGGTATTGTTCCATTTTGTGCTACAATATGTCATACGTCTATCAGGCAACAATTATTGCCCTAAAAGGTTGATTGAGGTTTACTCGCTGACACACAAGTTTCCTTAACTGCTTGATCTTCAACGTGCACTCCTGATGAAGCTTAACGCTGAATTCATGAATTTTATTTTTGTGTTAATGACAAGTTGGTTCGTTTGAAATTGCTGCAATATGCATCAACCTGCAGCTTCAACGTGACTGAAATGGCTGAAATGTTCTATGTTATTACATATGCAATATTTAGTTATTTGTTTGTTAAAGGCTTTATATGTGATTTTTTGATCCAGCAGATGTCGCCCTTGAGCACCAGCACGAAACCAAAACAACTCGCGGTGCATTGTTGTGTTAGCATGCTAATGCTAGTGATCTTTATTATGCTTGTATCTTCACACTGCATGTAAATTTACCTGAAATGAGCGTGATCTAGAAACACAGTTAAGCAGTGAGTACAGTATGTTGTTCTTCTTTTCTCTAGTCCCTCAATTAAACAACTTTTATACATGAGGGGAGGAGTCAGCCGGCCGTCCTGGCGATGTAAACAAAGTGAAGATAGGACTCTGAAAACTCTGAAAACATTACAGACAGTGGGACTCAGGTGTTACACCCATTGTAGACAGTCATGACTCACAGAGTTATTTTCAGAGGATATACTTCATTTATTTTACATTTAAGTGTGAAAAATCACATAGAAAGCCTTTAAATCTATCAAATTTGGAAAGTGCACATTGATCAAAACGGGAGGTGGGGTACACTCTGGACTATTCTCAGGGCTGACATATAGAGACAACGTTTTTAAAAAATGAACTATTTTGTGTGCATAAAAACTTCAGCAATACTCAAATTGATCTTCACTCTCCTGCCAGAGGTCAACAGGTCAATCTGGGATGATTCCCTGTGATTTAGTGAAGGGCTTATGCTGCATTTAAAGCGCTTCAGAAGTGACACACCCGCCCTCACAGGTCCGTCCCTCCTCCGGATCACACAGAGATGAAGATGTGAGGAATACGTTGGCGGTCAGCCTACATGCCAAGACGCCGGACCCACAGAGGATTCTTATGTAATGTTTGAAGAGCAGCTGCGGCCGTTCAAAGAGACTCACCGACATGTTTGAGAGATGTCAACAACGTAGGAAGGCTGAAACCTAATCATGTCCTCAACGAGCTTTTCTCCTATTTTGTGAGTTCACTTAAACACTGACTGTGATTTAATGTAACAATCTGTGGAAGAAAGGATTACATCTCTCTCTTATTGCTCCAATATGTCCTAAAAATATTGTCAGTTTAGTAATTGTTCGATTATTAAAAAGCAGTCATCCAATTCAGTCGTATGTCCCTCAGAGTCGTGGTTCTCAACTGGTGGGTCGGGACCCAAAGGGGGTCACGGAGCCGTTTTCAGTTGAGGCATAAAAACACAGAAGTTGAGCTTGTTGTTATTTGTTTCTGAGTGGATTAAATACGTGGCTGCTTGTTTGTTTGTTTGTTTGTTTTGTCTCATAATTGAGATTGTGTCGCTGTTTGTTTTTGTTTTTCATATATTTTTTATATGTGATGCATCTAAACTGTTTATTTAAAAAAATCTTTCACCGTTTAACTTTAAATTAAACTGGAAACTTTAAATGCACAGCATGTAAATTCCACCACCAGGGGGCTCTCAATCAAATCACAGCGAGGCTGGCGGGGAATCATGGGAGTTCTCTCTGCTACTCCATCCCCGATGAAAACGTAGTCTGCGCTGACCGTAGTCAGGACAACCGGGTGAAATCGACCTGAGGAAGAGAATATATTTACCAACGAGTATAATTTACATGATGTTTTAATCACAGCAGCACATCAGGAGCAGCTCACGCTTCCTTGCAGCGGTCTTTGACGTAACATCAAGTGTTTCCATGGCAACAATAAACATGTTGTGTCTGTCGTGGCGGCTCTGTCATATATCAGGTCTTTGTTTATCTAAATTCACTCCTTCGCGTGGTCTGGTATAACCAGCAGCTTGTGGTGGAATAAGCTCAGACATTTTAGATACTGTTCCTGCACAGTGTTTAAAATGTCTGTTGCCTAATTTTACGAGGCTTCTCTTTATTTGGGCACCTGTTACTTTAAGCTTTAACTAGAATATCACCCACTGGTTTGTAGACTGCTATTCTAAGCCTTTTTGAGGTTTTGCATATTGAAGTGGTTTTCAAGGCAAACATACATGTAGCAACTTGTCGATCAGCCTGAAGAACTTGATAATAACAATTGAGACCATAAACTTGTTTGTAATAAAGGGTTACTTTGACAGAATAATCATCTGCCATGTAAATTCATTTTCTGGTAGACTTCAGCTGTTTTCACACATGCCCTCCTGAACAATTCAACACATTTCACAACAACCTGCCCCTGAAATCCCCCTGAAGAGCTTTTTACACTTGTACAAAATTCCTGAAAAACTCAAATTTTCAGGAGGCGCTGTATATGTGAGAACGCAAAACAGCCAAATGTTTCACTTGGACTTCACCCGAAGTTTCTCCTGCCAGACCCCTAGTTTTTTTTCCGCAGCAAGTCAGAGTGAGCTGATGTGAGAACGCTGCAGGATGTTATTCTGAGAATTCACCTCGAGCCAATAGGAGGGGTGTTACATTTATATCCTGTGACTGGAGTTAGCGCATAATATGCACGCGTCCGCAACAATCTCTGTGCGCGTAATCAAACTGCTGCATTATGATTTCTGTTCTCCAGTATGTTCTTCTCCCCTCTAATATTGTGATTATGTTGAACTACATAACATGGATATAAAGGCACATTTTCCCATTACTGCATCGCATAGCACACTCAGTTGCTTCATCCACCACTTCCGCATTGTTCTTTTTTTAAGTCATGTCTTGCCTCAGGAGACCCCCGCCCCCCCTCCTGTCACACAGGGATAGTCTCTCGCTGTGAGGTGCATGTGTGAACAACCAGATCAGGAGCATTTCAGAACCAGTCCTCCTGAAGATCTCTAGAAAATGTACAGAAGTGCATGTTTGAAAACGGCTTCAGCTTCTTATTCACACATGTCCCTCACAGCATGATGGGACGAAACGAGACGATGAGACTAAGCGAGAGAATCAGACACAACAATGATTTTTTTTCCCTTTTTATCAATGACACATGAAATTGGGAGTTATTCACAGTATCAACAAATGAGGGGTAAAGAACTTAAGTCTGGATGAAGTCAGGGTAAAGATTTGTGGCCGTTTGCATTCACACGTGCAGCTCGTTTTGTGCATGTGTGAAAACAGCTTTACATATAATAGGACTCGTTTTTTGCAACCAGTGGAGTCACCTCCTGCTGGTCAACTGAAAGAATGCAGCTTTCAGACACCTCCACATGGACCTCACGTTTCACACCAAGTCCTCTGCATGCTTTTAAAAGTATTGCCATTTTTACACACTGCTGCAGCTGATCAAGATAGTGAGGCATTTAAACCTGACACTAAAGGTTTACAAAATAAATGTAATGTTTTAAAAATGACTATATGATGGTTTTTGATTGCACCATGAGACGTCAGTACTGAAAAGAGGAGAAGCTGTATTCAAGGACTGGAGAAGAAGGTGACTTTTAATTCCAGACTGTAATATTCATGGAGACAATCTGCCTCCTGACACAGCGATGTTCCTCTCCAGCTCAGCGAGACTCTCATGTGTCAGAAAGGATGCCGTCATGTGCGCCCAGTTTAATTGAATTAGCTCGGCTTTAGACCGGAGAGCGGCCGGAGCCACGCGTGCATTTGACATTACGTGCTGGCAGTTTATCTGAGCGGCAACAACTGGCAGTGAAACCTAATTCTCCATACTGCGAGCTACTTTTAGAGCAGGAAACAGGAGGTGAAAGGTTCAGTGGTTGTACAGCATGAAAGGGTTGCAGCAGCTAGTTACACCGGTCACTTAGATGACCCCGCTGACCCCGCAGGGCTGTGAAATCCATCTGTACACAAGAAGGAAAAAAGAAACCACAGAGACACCGTGCTGTTTTTTTTGTTTTTTTTAATGGAATGTATCTTTTCAAGGTATGAAAATAGATCTCACGTTGAAATAAGAAAGAGCTATAACTGTGTGTGTAATGATGGCAACAGGCAGGCATGTCAGAGAAGCATCACACCAGTCGCATTAGATAAAGGGCACAGCTATTACCCTGTGTGGGAGATGACAACAACACTGAGGCATGTGTTGGTTGGCTGTGATACACAGGCGAGAGGGGGGAAGCAGTGAGAAACACTTCCTAGAGAAAAAGAGGAAATAACACGAAGCTTTGTGAAATGAAATGTTTTCAGACAGCAAGACATCCCTCCATTATGAAAAACAACCACACTGAGGCTGAACCACAACACAATCACACAGCAATCACACGTTTCAGTCTGATCTTTGCACAATGACTTTTTTCCACTCCCTTGCTCTGTTAAAAGTTGCAGTTTTCTGACAATTTCTCAAAGGCAGAGACCAAAAGAATCTGATTGGTTGTGGTAATTGTGATTGGGTGAGGCCAAGTCTGTGTGAGCTTAATTTAGCAGGTTGGAATGATTGAATTGCAATGAAGAACCCCTTTGCAATAACAGCAAAGTCAACAGAATTTGTGATATTTAACAAGCAGAAGCTAGTTACAAAGTGTTTATTTTGTACATTATTCAGTCCCCGTTCTTCCACCGTCTTAAGGGCCTGTGTGCACGGACACCATTTATTTTTGCCCTGGTAGCACTCATTTTCAAAACCAATGCAGTTCAGCATTTTCTGCATTCAGTATCCGAAGTGTTAAAAAAAGCCCTCATCTTGAGCTGGTGTTTTTGTGGCTGCGCTCATACAAGCTCAGTTAAAAACAGTTCAACTTTTGTAACACTGCCACAATGGTCAATGTAATTTCTCCCTCGTAGACCAATCAGAATGAAGAAGGGGCGGGACTTTGGATACAGTTTTTGTCAACAACAATGGTAGAGGAGAAACTACTCTGACTTGTCTTTTGGAGAGTGCAATGTTCCAGGTCTAAATTAACAATTACTTTATATCACTTTCATGTTTTCTTTGTGATATTTCTTTGAATAACAGCAAATAATAAAACACACAAAGCATTTTAAAACAGACCTTACAGTCACGAGCGAGGGAAGCAACAGTGCTGTGAGCCAAATTTCATAACCCAGCGACAGTAAGAACTGGTGAGAAGCACTCTGAAATTTAGGTGGTCACACTGCTAGTTCAAAAGAAAAAGCTGTTTATGGCACCTGAAGCTTTTATTTAAGATTTTACTTTGACAGTTAGGAAACAGAACCCTACCAGGAAGACTTACAGGAACGCTTACATTGCTTTTGTAAATTCAAAATGTCCGCCTTTGGGTCCAATTAACGGTAAGCTAACGTAGCTCGCAGATTAGCATGTCGGGATCATGCTAGTGTCACTTTGAGATCTTTGACAAGCAAGCCAGTTAGCCCCTCAACAGTCAGTTTTCTAACTTGTTAGATTATCCAACTAGCTAAAGTTTGATCAAGAAGTTTATCACAGAGGAAGTGTTGTGGTTACAAGTCGGAAGAAGGATTAGCTTCTTTCATCTCTTAGTTTGAGACTACTCGTACACTGAACCAGACAACACCACTCGCTAAGTTGTCCCCAAAGATTGAGAATGTGTGTAACCACTTATAATGACTTCTTGTTTGCACATCATCAAGGAGAACATCACTTTAATGGGCTAAAGTCTTGTTTTAACAAGATTCCAGACCTAGCATAGGCGGACTTCCTAGACTTGTTTTGCTCCCGTCGTTATAATTATGGCCACTAGAGGGCACCAACTAGCAATAAGTGTCAATACAAGTGAAGATATGTCCTAAAAGGCTGCTTGCACAGACAACTGATTAGAACTGTAGGTTAGTCAGAGTATCTTACTCAGACTTAAGACTCACAAAAAGGTCGTAGATAGCAATTTTTAAAATCCAAATAAAATAAAATGGCGGGAAAATGGATGTACAGAATGAAAGATTCACTGTAGCGATGAATAAATCAAGTGATCAAACAGAGTAGGTATTGAGCGTGCAGGTAGCTCATTGTATATCTAGGGTATGTCAGTGTAGTATATTCTGAGCTGTAGCTCTGCATGAGAGCGAGAGAAAGGCCTGGAAATGATTCTTTGGTTCAGTTGAAAAATGAAAATATGGATAAAATGACACATTTTATCTATAGTTAAAGGATTTGACTGACGATACATCTTTCTCACATAACTATATTTACGCTTTTCTCAGCGAACTTCTTGTCAAACATGTCAGCTACAAACCTCCACATTAGTGTTTCCTGTTCCATTCTAGCAACAACCACACTGAACGTTCACCAACAATTTAACATTTTATATAGAAAATATATATACACATAATAAATAAGGGATAAACCCATCGCACGGTAGAATTCAGGTGTTTCCTCACATGCTTTTAGTCCATCAGTCTTTGTGAAACAAGTCTCTGTCCTGAACAGGAGAACAGGAAGGGGGGCGCTGGTCAGTGGGAACCACTACATGGAAGAGGGGGACTCCTGGAGAGAGGGGGGTAGAGATGCAGACCGGCTCGGTATCCGTCGTCCGGCTGAGTGTCCAATTAACCTGCGGATGCAATCAGTTAGACGTACTGCAGACTGATGGGCCTGACACAGGAGGCAAAGGTAATCTGAAGTCACAAGAAACATGGACTCAATATAGAGGGAGCTCCTCAGGCTGCACATTTCACTTCAACCGTCTGAGTCAAACCATCTATGCAACTCACCCTGATAGAAATAAGGAAGTTTGTACAGGAGATATTTAAGGCCAGGATTGGGCCATCTTTGTTTTTTGTTCTGTATTATGATAATAAAGTCAAAATGTATATATAAAGTTGAACTTTTCACAGGAAGTTTTTTTTTCTGTTTGCATTTTGAGAATTAAGTCTAAAGGACTAGACTGAATTGGAAATAGTATTCAACCATACACTGCGAGCATGTAAAGCGGGGCCAGTAATGCTGATTCTAGAAGAACATTTTTCAAAATCATTGACTGTGTGTTAAGATGGACAGAGCACCAGCTGACTGGGGTGAAGGCAAATGATTTATAGCTCCCCCTGCTGACTGGCTGCAGTATAGGTCGTAAACCCCGCCTCCTCCATGTTAACAGATTCGACATGGGTCAAACTATAAAGTTAAAACACAGGTCAAATACATTTTGTCAAACTTGGAGCCTGTTGTAATGTGACAGAGCTGACGTGACCTCATGATCGACAGCTTTGTTGACAGTTGTGGCTCCTTTCAGCGTTCTTTGTCAGAAAGCAAGAAAAATCGAAAGTTAACCATACAGTCATTGAACTTTCCATAAGTGTGAGTGTCTGTTACCCACCTGACGGATCTCTGATGCTTTACCAGTGATTTATACAAGTGCTTCAGTAAGGAAAGGGGCCGGACGTCTGGCTCTACATGACGTCACCAGTGCTAGATATCAGCGCCCTTAGTGGGAGCATTTTGGCTTCACTTTTCACCAGACAGTGACATGTTGTCCATATTAATACACAGTCAGTGGTCAAAATTCACGAGAATTCAAATTTAAAAAATCTTCCTGTTCCAATATATTTTAATTGTATCTGACAAAACTAGAATTGCCACAATCTGAAGATTTACTTACATATTTTTTTTAACTGCTTAAACCCACCAAATCCTTATACATAAGACATGACCTCTGACCTCAATGGAAGCTGCAGCCCTGCAGCTCACCTGGAGTTTAGGAAACATCAGCCCACATATTAAGAACACATGAATCATCTCTTATTGCCTGTTAATGATGAACTGCCTTTAAACTTCATATTTAATTTTTTTGTTTGTGCTTCTTAAATAAGATTCAGTTAAAGTGGTGATGGGTCATGTTCTTATTTCTGGTTGAGGGTCCAATGGTTGATGCTCATAATGTATCACAACGACTGCATTAGTGAATCATTGCTTCCATATATTTAGTCCTTCCTTTTGTTTTGCTGGGATGAAATGTTGGTGTGACAACAAATCACCACGTGCATGGAAAATACTGTCCAAACGCAAACAAAAGCAGCTTATTTCACCGATTTGCACAAGTTTGAGTGAGAAGGACAGTCCGGGTGTTCAGCTGATGTGTGAAGCTGCACACACTGGCTGTGATGAGTCTGAGCAACAGCACAGATAAGAGCAGTAGTGTACATTTTGGAGTCATATATGCATCAACTAACACAGATCTGACATTTAATTAGACGTTTTGGCGCAAGATGTGTGTGCGTCTTTACGCTAAGTTGAGTCGTCAATGACTATATATGTTTAACATGTTGAGGCTTTGCATCCTTAAACATGTCCAAATGTTAACTAGAAGTAATTTCAAAAAGGTTTGTTTGGACAGATATACATCTCGCCAGTTGTTCCCCATCATGAATATTGAAAATCTGCCAATCTCTGCGCGTAAATCCATGCTTAGGGTTCGGAGGAGCCCTCCTTGGGTGAAATGTCAAACCTGCCTGGAAATGGATATCCGGCATGTTTTCCTGCAGAGGATTTCACCTCCATGAGGGGGAACATACAAAGAGAGTCCCAAACTTTTCTATACACAAAAATAAATCCACATTTTGCTCCCTTCTGGAAGAACATTCACTCAGTTTTAGATCTGTGAAGACCGCACGCTGTGGTGAAAACAGACGTCCTCGATCAGGGCACCAATATCCAGGGAATAAAACAAAAAAAAAGGGTCCTTAATTATGCGAGGGGATCCCCAGGTGGTCCCCGGACCTGGGGACCCCCTCCTCAATAACGCTCTCTCTGTAGCTGTCTTACCGCAAATGGCGCACCAACGTCCACGGGTCTCGCCGCAGGTCACGCAACGTTTGGCGCGCTGCGGACCGTCTTCTGCCCGGGCATCTGCACCACGAGCAGCTGCTGCTTCTGCCGGGTGGACTTGACGGCCAGGATCGCCTGCCGGTTCTTGTACTGGACCATCTGCAGGGTGATCTCCGCGTTCCAGCCCTCGTCCTGCGGGCACCTGAAGTCGATCTCCTTCCCCTCCGTCATGACCACCGTGAAGTACACATACTTCCCCTTCCGCTCCACGCAGTCCACCGTCTTCATGTTGGCGAAGTGCAGCTCCTTGACTTTGCCCACGTCCCCGTGGTGGTGCTGGTGGTGGTGGTGGTGCTGCGGCGGGTCGTGCTGTTTGGGCGGCAGCAGCAGCACGCCGTCCTCCGTCAGGACGCAGTGCTTCTTCTTCCAGAGCTGCAGCAGCCCGTCGCTCCGCTTCTCCAGCAGCCCCTCTTTGAACACCTTCCTGCCGTTTTCCAGCATCTTCATCTGGACGCTTCAGGCTTCCAGCTTCACGGCTGCTGCGTGTTCACAAGGCGGAGGAGAAGATCGCTCAGTGGAGGGATGGAGCCGATGGACGCACGATGCGGTGGCTGTAGTAGTGTTAGTGGTTGTAGTGAGGAGGCAGTCTGCCTGTCTGACTGTCTGACTGCCTGTCACCGTGTGTGAAGGGGGCGGGAGGGGTCTGCTGGAGATGTGCACCGCCCCCCTCAGTGACACCCAGCCCCCCCCGAGACACTGACTACAATAACAGACTGCTAAGAAGATACTGTTTCAAAAGGCTGCTACTTAATGATTCTTAAAATCTGGATTTAGTATTTAAAATGCACATTGCAAATAAAAGATTTGGATGTTCCAAGAATACAAGTAGTCCCAGTTTATACTGTTATACTAAGAGCTGTGTGGGGGAGACTGGGGGCAGTTTTCACGTTTTTCTTCCTAACTCATGTATGGAAGCCCAAAGAGGACATGCATAAAGTAAATATCTTTGAGTCTTTTAATTGAGACCTTGACTTAATTAGCCACTTATCTCGAGATATTAAAGCTTTTTTTTGCGTTTGATTTTTTTTTTTTACCCAGATCTCAAGAAAATGTCTCAAATCAAGTCATGATCCAAAGAGAAAAGGATGAATTAAGTTGATATAAAAAAACAAAAACAACCAAATGTACGTTGTTATCACGGGAAAACTTATTCAAATAAAACAGATTACTTGAAATGCACTTGTAATCTTTTAATACAAGAAATATGAGTAAACTAATTAACTAAGCTTTTCTCTTTTTTGACTAACAAAGAAATCATATCCCCTCGCCCCCTCCACCCTAGAGCCAATTCGCACGTTGGTTGCCATGTGGTGGACTCTGAAGCTTCAGTGTTTATCCAGCTCTGCATGGGTTTGTAAACCTTTCTGTGTTCTAACCTCTCTACATTTTTCAAAAGCATCTCCAACATTGATCCTAGTTTGAGCACGTTTCTGCTCGTGGAGCTTATTAGAAACATGCAGAGGCTTTTTAGGTCGGGTACAATCACTTCTATCTGAACCACTTCTCTTACACGCTTCCATCGCTGCAACACCTGTTGACCTGATAACTGCTCTCATATCTGGCAAACCGGGGCGTCCAAAACGGCCGTGTGGGGGGTGTCCTTAAATGTGCCTACCTTCTCTGGTCCAAACAAATCCAGAGCATTCAGGAGCAGAATCTAAAGTTAGAAGGAGGACATACTGGCTGCTGCATTGTTGTCAGAGAAGCCAGCACTTCAACATAGCATGTTTCCTTAATGTCTGATCAGATAAGATCACTTTATCAATTCATTCAGGAGCTATCTTACAGATTGGACCTTTAATATACAATCAAGTCAGCAACACAAACTCCATTTACTGCTCAGCCTCTCTGAGTTATGAAGCTTTGTGTAAATAAAATTAATTCTCGGATGCAAACTTCTCTCTAAAGCACAAATATTTCCATAAATTCAGATTTATGTGACTGAAATCTGGCTCACTCGTGTCAATACATGTATGAAGAAGCTGTTTTTATCTTCTTTTGGGGAGTGCATATACGTTGAAGAGAATAATGACCCATAATAAATCAAGGTGACTCGATCATGTGATAACGATAAGCAGGAGGAATTCATGTCACAGCTCGCATTAATTTATGCATTAAACGATGACTCATGACCCTAATTGTTAACCCTTACATAAGTCTATTATTTTAGCCTTATAGTAAAATCTCACCATTCTTTTATTCTAGTCAAATCTTGAATGCAGATCTTCTGACATTAAATGGATTATTTAAAATGTTAAAGAATATTTTTATGACCACTTGTAGTTTTGTGTTAAGCTCGATTAACACTTTGCGGTGTTGTTGTTAAGTCGTCAAATATAAACCGTCTGGTCTGGTCTGCTCTGGAGTTAGCATGTGGACTCAGCCAAACCATGACGTCTCTTCACACCTCTCGTTATAATTACTGCAGTGTTACCATGTGTAATATAACTGCTGAGGCAGATCTTTCTTTTTTTAAAGGTCATCTCTGTTGCTGTCCTCTCCACGGTTAAGTCCACCCAACAGCTCTCTTACAGAGTGTGTGTGGTATTTAATGTTGTCACTATTTCATTACAAACCAGATTCCCCATGGAGGCCAGTAGGTGTCAAGTCCTGAACTGTCTTACAGCAATGGCGCCCTCTACTGGCCATGTGCAGTATAACCTTTATAATAATGATGTACTGACTTTTCTAGATCTAATAAAATCAAAGGTTTGTTTTATTGTCAAGCTGGTAATATTTTCTTTTTGAGTCTTTCAGTTTGATAGTGAGAAATCTTTGACCCCAATAACATCACTAAAAGCAAAACATGTTGCAGGTTTATTTTTGGTTGTCTTTATTATGACCATGTAGAGCAGACTATTTCTTCTAACCCTGGTTCATTTTAAAGAGTTTGTGACAGTTTATCGTCCAGGAAAACTAAAAGGCTGCTTATTGAAATAAAGTGTTTTATTAACACATTTTAAAGAGGACAAATTCTCCCCCTTTTCAAATGAAACATCTGTGCTGTGCTTTGGTCAAAATATAACATGAATCAAGCACCAGAGGAGGTTTGTGACCCTGTATAAACCAGCTCTCTCAGAACGCTCCGGTTTGGTGTGTGTCAAGTTCAGAGCGTGTGACAATAGAAAGATGAAAACACAAACATGTAGACCACACCACACATGTTTAACCAATTTATTCATGAACATACACGTACAGTTATTGAGTACATTAGTATTTTTGTAGCATAGCACTTTGCCTTGACAACAGCTGCTCAGAAGGACCCTACAGAAACCCTCTCGTCCTTTTTTTTTTTTCTTTTTTTAAATTTTAAATCCGATGAACATGATGTGAATACTCCCTGCAGAATGAGAAGTACCCTGCTCTCCACTGTGGACCGCCGACACAGGGCCTTTTTCACGACTTCAAACAAAAAAGGCCTTGAAGGATGGACAGGGAGGGAGGAGGGCAGGCTACGGTTCCTTTTTGGTCTCCCTCCTGGCGTTAAGTATTGCTCTGACATGCTTCTCTGTGGCCTTCTGGGTAACACAGAAAGGGGGTGGGGGGGGTATGGTGGGTGAGGGAGAGTGGTGGTTCATTGGCCTAATAATGGCCTTATCACACATCCTCTCTTTCTTTCACAGTGATTCTTAATGGAGTGAGACGTCGGGGGTCGGCGTGAGTCACACTGACGACACAAGAGGTAAACTGATAAGAAGGGGGGAAAGGGGGGGGGGAGGAGAGGGGCTTGGGAGTTTTGTTATCCTGTCTTTGCTGTGCTACATCTGCTCAAAGCTTTCTCTGAGGACGCCAAGTGTGCCTCCTGCAGTGAAGAAGCCACTTCAGAACCAGTAGCACATGTTGATCTCTCCACAGAGCGCACCCCCTTCTCCTTAAAGCAAGGGGACGTGAAACAAAAGTGCTGCTCACAAGGAATACTCAAACAGCCACCCGATGACAGGACGCCACTGGTACACAACACTAGTACAGAGTGCTAGAAAAGGACGACGGCGACGCCACTGTGAGAGCCTACGAGGAGCCTGAAGCACTCGGTTACCGGTTTGCCCCGTTAATTCCCTCTTTGTGTCCACATTTGTTTTGGTATCCCCTGGAATGTTAAAGAGACTCGACCAGGCTGTGCTGAAGCCCTGGGAGCGATAAAGCCACTTCCTGTCAATTTTAAAGGTCCAGATTTTAAGAGAAGAGGAGCCTAACGGATGGTGCCGGCCAGCCTGCTTACTGGAATGTATCAAGAGCGGGGAAAGTATGAGCAGGGAAAAAATATAACACCGACTCCAGATCCCACGCTCAGCAAGATGAGATAGTGGAATAGACACTCGGCTGCAGGTCACACGTCCATCTCTGCTCCGTCACTCGACCTGGAAATGCTACAGTGCTTTTACAAGTGCTAAAGGCCCCGCTAAGAGTTTTTTTTTTTTTTTTTTAAACGACGAACAGAAGGGACCAACCTGGAGCTTTTGTAGGAGGAGGTGAAGAGGGGGCGGGGATTGTTAGAAATTGACGCGATGCAGTCTTAACCACAGCTGTTGTCTAAGAGCAAATACAACAAAAGACTTCACAAGAACCCAAACTAGTTTTTTTGTTGTTTTTTTTAGCAGTGAAGAAACAAGTTCATGCTGTTCCAGGGAGATTTTTTTTTGTCCTGTATTCTATCTAGTTATTGTACAGAGAAGGAGGAAGAGAAGGAAAAAACAGGTCTAGTAAAATACTATGTATATCGAGCGACACAGCTCCCAGTATATTACCATTTTCGTAACAAAAATCTTGAAACTTTTTTTTTCTTCAAATTCTCTACCAAGAAAAATACAAAACATTATAAGGCGGTAAGTAACTATTTTTTTTTTTAAATGTTTTTTTTTTGTTGTTGTAATTTTTGAAGCCGTTACAGTGCAGTCGATCCTCAAGGCAGCCGGGCCGGGCTTCACTGCTGCTTACACTCAGCTGGGGGGGCTGCATCCTTCTGTAAGAGATCACAGGGGGGGCAGGGTTAAGACCAGAACGACTCCATGAAGAAAACACACACACACATATACATACACACAGCAAAGCCATTTCAACAACTTAACAAATCCAAACAACGTCTGAAAAGTGTCGAGACAACATCGTTAACATGAATGAACGTGGAGACTATGAGGCAGCCACATCAGACAAACTATGACAGCGATGGGGTCGAGACGGTTGCATCCTCATGAATGCAACAGGAAGCTGGTGCAGGTGTCCCTTCAACCTTTTCTGTCTTTGTGTAAATCACTGGAGATACATGGGTAGTTTGACAGTTTTGGGAAATTCACTTCATTTGAAAATAAGAAGCACAGTGACACCTCTTTTATTTTGTCTTTTGAGAATGAAGCTGAAGTCAGGAGATGGTTCGGCTCGCTCAGTCGTTTTAACAGTGAAATGCGTCGCTCAGGAAATCCCTACAAACAAGAGACACAAAACTAGTACTGACTGCCGGGACAGGTGACAACGAGCTATGGGATGCAAACAGTTTGAGCTTTCAGTTATAAGCTCTTCATCCTCTTTACTTCCAAATTTGGCTGCTCTAATAGTATTTCAGACACTTCACTGCATGCAGAGAAAAAGCAGAATTATTAGAACGGCTGTTCACTGGCTTTATCACCCGAATAAATGACAAAACCCAAATCTGTGATGGAAGAAGACCAAGATAGAATCGGGTGAGCTAGTGACTAGCTACTGACCAAATAATCAGAGATAAAGTGCTCCTGACTTTGAGGAAAGACGAGGGGTGCTGATCTCATCATTGACTCCACCAAGAACATTATCAAGTGTATTTCACAAAAAGTCAAACTATTCCTTCAGCCAGTCAAATCTATACTTCCAAGTTGAAGTTACTGAGCACGTAAGAGTTGAGGGAGGTCAACCTGAACCTCTAAAGCAGAACAGAGGCCAGTTTTTCCCTCCTCTCCAAGTGTTAGACCTCTCCATATATCCCTGCTCTAATCATAGTTTCCTCACTAGCTGCTGAATTTCATGTTGCTGTTACAGGGACACGAATGGAAACACTTCAAACAGAACCTCAGGACATGGTGCTAAAATCAATTAGCTGCCAAAAACAAAGGAAACAGTCGAGTAAATAAAGGATGAGAGATCATTAACAGCCCATCATACAGAGAGAGAGAGAGGGAGGGGGAGGGGGGCGTCCTTCCAGCACACATTAGACTCTCCTGGAGGTGATGGCACTCTGCAGCTGCTCTCCGCGGGCCTGATGCCACACCGACTGAGCCGTGTGAGGTCGTTGTGGTCACTGTGTAATACGTTTGGCTGCAGCTGAACTCGTGAATATTCAGTCTAAAATTAGTTCTTTGTGCGAGACGATTTTTCATCAGAGCGTGAGAACAGCTCAGCGATGATGCGGCATCTGTTAGAAGACTTCTCTCAACATTTTCTTATCCACTACAAGCAATGACGTTTCTTTTCAAACTTGAGAAAATAAGGTTAAACTTCTGACAATGTCGGCAGCCCCAGGGGAATATAACACTTAGATGTCTTTTATTCTATTTTGGTAATCCGCCAAATATAACCTGGTGCTTATTTTAGAACAGAAAAAGATGTTAAAGGCGGTTATTTAAAGGAGGACATATTATCCTCCTTCTCCACCTTTTCAAACAGTCCCCTGTGGTCTAAATGAAACATCTGTGCTTTGGTCAAAATATAACATGAATCAAGCACCAGAAGAGGTTTGTGACCCTGTATAAACCAGCTCTCTCAGAACGCTCCGTTTTGGTGTGTGTGTCTCTTTAAATGCAATGAGCCGCCTTGAGTTTTCCTGGTAGACATCACTCCTTTGCTGGCAAGAATAAAAATGGTGGACTTGCGCTAAAGTTTTGTTCTAGTCTGGGGGTGGAGTCCATGGGTGGAGATATCAGGGGAGGTTTTTTTTTGTTTTTTTACCAGAATCCCACTGTGACATCACAAGGAGAGCACATTTGAAACAGAGCATTTATCTCTGTGTTGTAAGACTTGTGCAGACCACAAACAAAGGACTGGATGGGTTTATTTCACATTTTGTGGGTCTGTAGACACTCAGGTTACCAAAATATATGTTCAAAAACACTGTACAAGTGGAGTTTTCATAATATGTCCCCTTTAAGAATTTAGAAGGAGCTACAGAGTGAAAGCAGCTGAAGATGACTAATGTGAACAGGAAGGAGGATATACAAGTAAAATGATGCTTAAATGGGTATTATAAACAAACATCTTAGACAAACGCACAGATTATGGAAGATTAAATCACAACCCGGACAAAAACTGAAAACTAGACGGCTTTTGTGGATGTTCAACAAACAGAAAAGGGAAGGTCCGACTCGCTTCAACATACAGAAATAATACAGGCGCAAATGCGAAACTCACTATGGGTTAAACTGCAAAAAAAAAAACACCAAACGGATGAGTTAGTAAGAGGTGCAGCACGGCGGCAGAGGAGGAGGGTGCTGATGTGGAGGGGGGTGCAGAAAGAAAAGATGGAGGGATGGAAAAACAGAAGAGGAGAAAAGGAGGGTGGTGGGTGTGATGGTAGTAAGCTGACAAGTCACAAGCTGTACCTACCAGGATAGGGTTATTTTTCTACTGTCACCACTTAAACCTAGTGAGGAAAAATTTAAAGAGCAGCTGACAAAAGGTGCCAAAGTGACCGGAGATGAAGACACATTAATGAATAGGAGAAAAAAAAATAAAAGCAAAACTAGCAGAATACAGAATGTCAAAGGCGTTTTTTGTTGTTTGGCCAAGAAGCAAAGGTCATGCTTTTTTTTTTTTTTTTAAATGGCAGGGTGTCAAACTGTCAAAGCTGCTTCACAGTCAGGTGGAAAAAGCCGAGTAACCCAATGAAACTACACCGAACTAAAACCCTGAAGCAGATCATGTGGACTCATGACATGCCTCACACAGTGTACAGCTTAAACTACACCATGTATGAGGAGACTTACACCTGTGCAAGCTCAACAATGCAAACATTAAACTGATTTTATTCGTAAAGAAGGCTGTGAAGCAGTAAATCAGCTGTCTACAGGAGGGGAGCCGTTATCTGTTAGCCTCAGTTAAAGTAGAAGAACAACCTCTCTGCAGATTGGAAATACAAGAGTCATCATTTAAACTAATTACTTTTGTGTCATACATTATTATCCCACAGCTTCTTGAAAAAGAATGATTTTGAATCAGGCCCAAACAAGCTGAATGTGGATTACATTCCACACGAGTCCCCGTCCTGATGTTAAAAGCTACATCCACACTGCTATGTTTTCAGCTGTTGAGGTATCTTAAGCTAACACAGAACTTCCACCAGATACGCTGATGTGTGTTGCACGCCAGCTCCGCTCTGGTAGGGCTCCGTGCTTTCTCGCCGTCAACACCCAAAGGCTGTGTTCTCAGAGCACAGCACGTAGCAGTACGGTCTGACAACTGGAGTGCAGAGACAAAGGAGCTCCCGCAGTAACAGATTCATACACGACAGCACGAGTATTAAACTGTAAAAAAAAAACCAACCTTATAAATACATCAACTAACTCACATAAGGTCAATGATCCCAACCGTCAAAACAAAGTATTTTATTCTGAAAATAAACCGGACATTTTAATGTTGTTTCAGTGTCTGACTTCCTGTCCTGCTGGATCTGCTTTGTTGTAGATTAATGCCCCGTGCTCTGGCCCGTGTATCTGCTGCAGAGAGCTCAGAGAGAGCTGAACTTTACGTGCGTCAGCTGGAATCTATCAGTTATAATCCAGCCCAGGCTGCAGGTAGGACGAAGATTTGGTGCATAAGGACACTCGCTCTACTAGCACAACCAGCAAAAACTGAGTTCTAAATAAATAAATCTACGTTGAGTTTAGAGTTTTTGCACAGTTGCATAATTACTCACTACAATAACAGGCTCTTGGAACAAAAAAACAAAAAAAACAGTACATGACTATTTTTTCCCTTTTGCACCTGTATGCATCAGTAGAATAAGAAAATCTTGATTTTTTTTTTTTTTTTTTTAAGAATATTTTTGGGGCCTTTCGGAAAGCTGAAGCTAGACAGGAAATGTGAGTTGGAGAGAGTGGAGTATACATGCATCAAGGGGTCAGGGTCAGGAAAGTCCAGGACTGTGACCTTGCTGTAAGGGGCGCTTGTTGAAGGAACAGCAGCTAGCTTAAACATTAAGGTCAGCAGGGTCTGCCTCAGGCCTATTTGTGGGGTTCGGCATTAAACAACGTCCAACCTTTTTCATCCCACATACTAAAAACTAATTTTAACTAAAAGGATTCCCGCAGTGTGATCAGTGTGAACGGGTAGACGTAGAAACACATACGAGTGTGGATGTAGCCTTAAATTGACCTGATCTGTTGTTTGATTTGGTTTAAAATTTAGTAAAAACATGCAGTTAGACTTCACTAACAGGGAAATTAATCCTGAAAACATGAGTTCAGGGTTCAACCTGGTTAGGGCATAAAAAGGTTAAAATAGGGGACATATACTGGGAGTTGGAGAGTTTATTTTTGTGTCTTTGAGCCAAATGAAGATCACAGCAAAAATATAAAAGCTGAAGCAAACCAAAGCTGGTGTAGAATGAGATGCATTTGACAGTATGTATTCTGTATGTTGAACTCTTTGATTGTCAAATAGATTGAGCACAGCTGTTCTCTACCTGCAGCTCAGAAACACCAGGAACAAAAACACGTCTGTAACATCAACAGCGTTTGGGCACGGCTCTGATCGACGTTCTCTAAAAGGAGCTGCTTTTACTTTTTGGGAGAGAGCCGACCGAGTAGAGAAGAGCTGAGTCAGGTCTTTGTAGAGACACCAGAGATCTTTACAGGGGGAGGGGCTGTATGAGTGTGTGTGTGTGTGTAGAGGTGATCTCACCTTGGGATCATAGTCGGGGTCGTTCTCCTCATCAGCCTCCTCCTCACCTTCCTGCACACACACAGAGTACAGAGACACGTCAGACTACTAAGTCAACACAACTGCACCAAGCATAACGCTGCGGGAAACAGATCTAAAATAAAAACTAACAGCCTGAAGAGTATCCGCTCTTTGAAGCAGAGAGGCATCTATCAAACAAAGATGTCTACTGTTTGTTTTGATAACCCTGTTTCTACATTTCTGATATCGAACCATAACATCAAGCATCATCTGATATTCTATATAATCTTTAGGTGTTACAGACCCTACACTCATAAAAATGAACATAAATATACAGTGATAAAAAGTGTCTGGATCAATGTGTCCTGCTTGCATTGGATGAAAAAATAGACCCAATATTTGTATTTTAATTACAGCAGAGAGAATCACTCCCATAATTCCCCGCCAGCCTCTACATCATCTTTTGTTATCGTTTTGATTGAGAGCCCCCTGACGACGGGTTTTAAATACTTTTTTTTACAGATTTGAGAATTAAAAATAATTTTGTAAACACAAGAATGTACCTTTAAATTTATCAAAAACAACAGTATACATGTGTAGTTTATCTTGCAGAGCTCCACATCTATTGCTGCTCTTAATAGTCTTACCTCATCATCTGCCTCCTCTCCCTCTTCATCATACTGCAAAACAAAAACATCTCCATTAGATTTTGAATATTTCACAAAGACTCACACACACAGCGTTAATAAACGAGGAATCCTACATGAGAATATAGTATTTACTGTGACGCCACAACAGGAAGTGGAAACATGAAATGATGTCTCTCTCTAAAGTCAAATGCACAAAGTTCTTTAACCTGAAACCTCACTCATGTCTGTGTTTGTTTACTTTACAGCCAGACTAAAGAGGACCAGACCAAACTCCAGCTGAGACGGCAGCACTCACATCGTCGTCGTCGTCCTCGATGGCCTCTCCTGTGAAGTAGAGCACAGCCCGGGGAACGATTCGCTCGCGGATGAAGTGGCCGATTTCAAAGTCTGCAGCCAGGACTGCCTCCGAGTCCTCGTCCTGAAGACAGACAGAGGGGTTAAGATCTGCATTTTACAAACTGATGTTTCCCTGTGCTCCTTTTTGAGTATCTGTAACAAATCTCTCTTGATCAACAAACATCAGGGAGTTAAGAGGAACCTAAACTTTGCAGTCAAAAACATTGAATTTGAAACCAAACTTCTTTCATACTTGTTCTTCTCCATTATTACATTTATGCAGTTTTACACTCTGACCCTGTGGTTGTTTTGGTGGTTGTGAAGTATCATAGACATTTTTTTAACGGTCTTTAAACAACAATGTCGTCATCTTTTGTTCAGAAGAGGAAGCTTTATTGAAGCTTACATAAACCCTTTACTTATTAGGAGGATCAGGGCATTGTTGGTTTGGTCTTTTCAGGAGATTTCTGGACGAGAACAGGAGTTTATACTTTCCCGACTCATCAGTTAATCTGCTCGCTGCAGAGTCAAATACACGGCTGGTTGAGTGAGGATGAATTAAACAGTGAAAGATTAATGAGTGGAGACAAAGATCAGAAGTGAATCTTTGTCATTAAATGTTAGGCCCTCATTTTGTTATTTTGACTAATCCGCTGATAAAACTTTTGAAATCTATAAATAAGTGTAGAAGAAGAGCTCAAACTCACCAAATCGCCATTTTCTGGAACTGCAAACGAAAAGAGAAAGTCACAAATGAGTTCAACCACACGTAATCATCTGAGAGTCATCAGGGTACCAGTGGTTCAGTTTTAGTGTCTTACCCTCTGGCGGGGTGAAGAAGTTGAAGAAGGAGTCGTTGGGGACCGTTTTGGTGACCGTCCTCACCGTGCCGCGGCCCTTGTGCTTCTGTTTCTTCTTGATGGTTTTCAACGTGACGTTCTTGCCCTTCGTCCAGTCGATCGTGCACCTGTGGTGAAACACGAGGAGGAGGCGGCGGCGGCGGCGGCGAGAGAGAGCAAGGTCAGTGTCGCAACATGATAAATGTCAAATCTAAATGAGAGCTCGGAGCATCTTTTCAGAGCGCGACTGGAGATGATGATTCAGAGGGGGAGGAGCCAGAGACATGGGGGGCCGGGGCTTTTATCAAAATGACAGCAGTATTATAAAACAATATGAACATCTTTGACAACATCACATCTACAAACGACAACAATCCTCAGCATTCAGAGCTTTTTGACAGACAAACACAACAAGTGAAACCAGCATGAAAACAAATATGTTCATTGATTCTACTCTTTAACGGTCCAGGGACCTAATATCGTTTGGCCAAAATAACAAGGGAAATGTGTACATTTCTTTTTTATCTTCAATTAAAAAAAAAACACACATTTGATTAAATTATATCTTACTTTGGTGACTGTGAATCTTTTTCAGAAATCCAATTCTTAAAATGCTCCCTACAAAGATTCTGTGTATCTACAATCAAAAAGCAGTTACTCTGCATTTTTGGTAGTTTGGCAATATTGGGTGTCTAGGACTTCTATTATGTTGCCATGGTAACAAAAGAGTTGTCTTTATTTTCACAGGTATCATATCTAAGTTAACATTTCCGGTATCATGACAATGCTCGTCTGCAGACATTAGTGAAGATTTACTTTATTGAAATTCTGTTTTCACACTCTTGTTAATGAGTCATGCAACACATGATGTAATAAATAAATAAATAAATACTGCCAAGACTTTGACAACTGAATTAACAAAATGAACATAAAGCTGCAATCTGAGATGCTCACCCTGTGCAGCACATGATCTCTGGTCCATCAAAGGAGAAGGGGTCGCTCTCGTCCGGCTCTGACCTCATCTTGTAGGTTTTCGTCAACACTGTGTTTGTGAAGAAGTCGTTGGCCTCAAAGTGAAACTCTAACGTGAAGCTCTGAGGAGGGAGACCAATCAGAGTGGAGCATTTTAAAGAAAGTAAACAAGGGAATCGAACCGTTTTGAACAATTTCAACATGAGAGTCGAGCTCACTCACCATGGGCTGTCCTGGATCTGAGAATTTTACTTTAATATCTTGTAAATGTTTAAGGATGGGTTCATCGTGTTCCTGAAGAAAAAAATAAAATGACAGCTTTTAGAAAATCATCCTACACTTAAGGGCTGCCATATTTCTTTACCATAACACTTCACACAACTTTGGCCAGCAGGGGGCAGCAAACCCTGTTTTTTTTGTTTTTTTTACTTTAATGAACCAACACCGTCTGTGACCTATTTTTTAGCAGCAGTGTGGAGGAAGGTACCTGCAGCATGTCACTGAGCAGGTCCACATTTTTGAAAACTGTTAACCAGAACTCGGGGATGCCTTTGGGGTCTTCCTTCTCCTCGTCTTTCTTTTCCTCCTCTAGCTTGGCCTTCTCCTTCATCTCGTCCTGGTAGAGGAGACAGTTTCTCTTTAAAATAATGCATGCTCAACAACATTTACTTTCTGAACATCACATCATGTGAAGTGGAGCCTTTGACAGTCCACATGCTTAAAGACAGGACTACAGACTGGGAGACTGAACAAAGAAACACCGACTGACTTAACGGTGCAAAAATAAATAATCTAAAAAAAAAACTAAAAAAAACCCAGTTTCTCTTCATTAGATTTATGCTTTAAGGTGGGAAAATTCTCTTCTCAATGAGCCTCCATGCTACATGCATGAAATGTGTTACTTGTAAAAACAAAAAGTGAATCAAAGTGACGAGTCAGACAGGGAGCATGCAGGTGTATACGTCACCTGTACCTGCTTACTTACTGTCAGCTCTTCCTCTTCATCTGCCTTCCATTCACACTCCTCATCTGTGGGCTCGTAGGCTGCTTTCACAATTTCACTTCTCTGTGAGAACGGGAGAAAAGATTGAAGTTAAAGTTTGTACCAGCTGATCAATGTTACACCAGATTTCAGTTCAGTAAGCATTAAAATCCCACGTTTGCTTTCATCTGATGGTTTTAATAAAAAGGTGTGATTAGTTTCAGTGGCAGGTGCGAATGTATATGACATCTCTGCTGACCTGGACCACCGGACCCAACCAAACCCACTCTCCTGCCCAGTCCAGTGCTTTAAGTCCTGCGGGTTCTCTGAACTTGGAAAACCTGCATTTTGCTTTTTCGCTCCAAAAATGTGGAACAATTTGCAACACTCTCTCAATATTGATAATATTGCTTCTCTTTGCAGTAATCCGTTTTATTTTTGAGCTTTTGACTCGATCAGACAAACTGAGCTGCTTGAAAAATCCTGACGTTGTACTGAACATCAAAGGTATTGTGTGTTTGGGAGAGAGGGAGGCTTTTTTTTTTTGACTGTATGTACAGGAGTAAGTAGGAGTTAAAAAGCTTTAACACGGCACAACACTCAAGGATCCAAAATCTGAGAATGCAGCAGACATGTTCGTAAGTCACAAGGCCTTTATCAACGGCCACATTTACTTCCAGAGTTGTAAAAAAAAAAAAAAGCTGATCCAGTAATTAAGTAGTGAAAGATATGCATCAATTCGAGTTCCTAGAAAAAGAATCATGACTTCTTGTCATACGAGTCTTCCTAACAGATACAAACTACACATAAACCAGTTTGAGCAACAATAGAGAAAACAACGTACTTTGTCGAATAGGGGTTGGTAGAGCGCTGCGTACTTTCTCTCCAGCTCATGGACTTCTTCGTAGAACTTCGCCTCAATGTGGGCGCATTTGACCTGCAGGTTCTTGAGGGCGTTTACACGTCTCTTTACAACCTTTGGTAAACTACAACAGAAGAGACAAACACAGAAAGAGACATGAGTACATACTGGGAAATAAGCAGTAAAACGGCAGTAATTATCAAGTATTAAGAGATGATTTTTTGAATGGGGGGGGGGTTTAAAAGGCTGGAGTAATTTAGTGAGAATTTGATGGAAAATGAACTCTGCTTGCCATAACTGCATCTAGGTTGCACACCCAGGTAGATTTTAGCTTTGCAAAATACTTTAAAGGCTTTTTTTCAGTCAATTATGTCAGCTTAAATCAGTCATTGGTTGATTGGTTTCTAATCTGTATCACTAATGTGCCCTACAGATTCTTGACTGACATGCGCCTGTGTCTGTACACAGCCATGGACCATGAGAAAAACACGATCCTACAGGCCTTAACTGTATGATTGAGATGTGTGGTTCAGAAACAGAGATGCCTGACATTTGAAAATGATTCATTTCAACCTGTGGTTTTATTTCATGACATGCTTCATAATCCACTTGTTTTGCAGATTTTGTTGTAGTAACTCAATATTGTGTTAATGTGGGGTTAAAGCCTTGAACAAAGACGATCATCTGATAGTGGTTCCCAGACTTCAAGAACTTTAACGATGCTGCACAGAATCAAGTTTTCCCCCACACTGTGGGAAATCAAAACGCCCGCACTATGCTGGCAGGGGAATTCATGTTTGGTCCAAATCGCTGGGATGTCGTAAGTGTAGGGTTTGTTGGTGCCAGACACTTGACATGTTGATCAAAGAGCTGCTTGCTGATGGTTTTTTTTGTGGGGAAGAAGAGGATCAGTGGGTGGCATAGCCCTGCAGCCAAGACACACAACCACGCTCACTCAGACGCTAATATCAAAGACTGAACCTCTGCTCGTGGGTTATTTTAACATTTTAGTTTCTGGTGCATTCTGTTCATCCATGAGTATGATAAGCCGAGTATTCACATCATCCTGGACTCTGACTGAAGTATAACACGGCATTAAACTTTAAGACGAAAGTGGGTACAAGTTTAATCAACCACTTAGGAGACTCATCCTTTAAACTCCTGAAGGTTACAGATGACAGAACAATAATTCTCCTCATTAGGATGATTAAGACTCTCCAATATGAATTGGAAATGTATCCTTACTACCTGGAGCTGAACTGGCTTATAACAGGAGTTCACTGTCCTCCATCACTACAGATAACAGTACAGTTACGTCTTCTGTTATGGAAATTATTCCCAGGGCATGAAGTGGGCTTAAACGGCAGACAGAAACATGTTCTTCCTGCAGCAGCTCAGGAAGTTCAAGCAGCCTCAGGATCTGCTGATCTAATTGTACTCCACAGAGATCCAGTCTGTTCTCTGAACATCCATCACTGTCTGTCCTCGCTTTCTGTCTAGTTTGGTGAATGATCCAAACCAGTCAGGACTGCAGGGGAAAAAAAAAAAAAAAAGACCTCAAGGTCAACCTGTCCTCCTTCAGGGCGTAAACATCACCAGAGTCAAAAGGCATCAAACTAAGACAAAAACTAATCCCTCTTCTCCCCTCTGGCAGGCGCTATAGACCTCTGTATACCATAAACTCTCAACCATTTCGTTTTGCTTTCAAGATATGAAGAGAGCTCCAGATATATCTCCTCATCAATAACCGTGTTTGTTAACATGTTTTCTGCCAATAAGTGATTCTGATCTTTTTTGTTTTCATCTTGTCATCATACACAATGTCCTGCACATTAAAACACAAGACAGCTGCAAATTCCCATTGTGGCCTGTTACAGGGAATTCATTAGTATGATTCTATGTACAGGCTTTATAATGCTGCATTTTCACAGCCATGTTTATCCCAGGAAGCTTTTTTTGTTTTGCATTTCTGTGTGAAAGATTTAGAAGGGGCATTCTTACATCAGTAGCTATGTTTATTCAGGGGCTACACCATTGACACCTGCTGGTTTTATAAACAAGCTGCAGGGACCTGACAAACTGGAATCCAGCTTTTTGTACTCTCAGGTCTCCCCTGCTTTCTTAGCCATTTTTGTTTTTAAATCAAACGAAGCTAAACAACGGGCAGGTTTTAAGCACACTTCATACGGGCTGTCTGTTTAAGCTGTTCTTAAAGTGATGCCTGTGAAGTTTGGCCAGATTCTCCTTTTGCTGCTTTGCTATTGAGATGACCAAATGTGGGCTGAGACTCGACATCATGTGAGCAGCTCAGCGGTCACAGTTAAATCTTTGTGCTGAGACATTCAGTTTGGGTTAAAACATTTCATTTGTCTTCACCTTTGGTTTTAATAAATGTATCTGCTACCAGACACTGCAGCTAAAATGAATCACTGAACTTCTCTTGAACTTGCATTGCTGCTCAGCGAGGCAGACTAAACACTCTAAAGTAATTATCATGTAAATATGCAAACAGAAAGCAAAAACATCCACCTACCACTGAGGTGTTTGCTCATGTTTACAGCCTACAACTAATACCCCACAGCAACAGAATTTTTCAGCGAAGTAGTGCATTATTTCTGATTAAAGAAAAGTGTTTGGCAGCATTTTGCCAGACTTAAATGCACATAGTTTGTTATAGTTACACGTATCATGGATGTCTGAAGGAAACTCATTTCCTTGTTAGTTTAACAGTTATTAAAACTAAACTAGTCCAAAGTGAGAAAAACAATCAGTCAAACTTGAGCACAATATAATTAAAACTGTCTTCGGGTGAATGATGCATTTCGCTTTGCTGAGCGTGGCTAACGTTAGCAGTGCTAGCACCACCAGCCTTTGGTGGTCCCTGCAGGTTACCCTCCAGATGCCTGGGGTAAAATGTGGATTCGCACTGCTTCGGTTGATATGCCAGTTCAACCTGACACAGCCTTCATGTGTTTTTTTCCTCCATTTTCTGGATCAAAACGCTGCTAAACAGCACTGCATGTTCCCTGCTTTTAAGTCCTTACAGATGTTCAACAGCTGCTCTATGGGGACTCTGGGCAGGGACACAGCTGCATGTATCGTTTTGAGGATTAAATAATCACTTAAGACTCGTTCATGACTCACCTCTCGATGTACCCTGACGGTGAGCCGTTCAGACCGTCCAGCCTCTCCTGCAGCGCTGCCAGGATCTGTGGATTCTGCATCATCTGCACGGTCAGCTGGCGAGCTAAAGACACAAACAAATACAGTCAGATCGAGGCTGATTCATTTGACTTTGAAAATTAGTTTTTGGGAGGTTTGATTTGATCTTGGACGAGAAACACGAGATGCACAATAACACCACATTGATTAATTCAAGATGGTTGTCCTACGTTTGTTTGGACCAAAATGAGAGCAATATTGTTTTGAGAGATTTAGAAATTGCAGAAAATCAAAGGAGTTAAAGGCTTTGTGTAATTCATCTACAGTACATATAATAAAGCTCTCTTATCTGTGTATTTCTAGTCATCTTGACACTGCAGTTCCTGCAAAATGACTTTAGCACATGAGCACCAGGGAAGGTATTTCAAACAACAAGACTAGCTGAAAAGTCACTGGAAATATTTAACGATTATACGAAGAACGCAGAGTTTGCACGCGACACTTTCTTTTTGTCAAAGGAGTTGTCAGCTGGAGAATCTTCTGCATCCTTCTCTTGTCCCAAATCTTACAGCCCCACACCTGTTTTACCTGCACCTAGTGCTAATGCTACTTTCTTTTTGTTTTTTAATGCCAGTTAGCAAACTAGCAGCAATTACACAATACATCAAATCGCTGAAATTCCTCCTTGTTTTTATAAAGTAATGACTATTTGAGTACTCCAAAATCATGATGCATCCCTTATTTGAACATTTGCAATAGTTAAACAATGTTACTTCATCCTCCCTAGAAACATCTAACGTGCATTACCCATCTCATAATTGTGTTTACCAGAATATTTGAGCAGGGCGGAGCAGAGTAAACCAGCACACAGTCATATCTCAGATCCATTTAAACATGTTTTTTTTCTCCCCTGATTATTTGGCCTGTGGTGTAATTTGAAATAAGTAAATAAAACCCTGAATGTATGCATGTTGATACATTGCACAGACTGAATTAGCAGTAAAAGGCTGCTCTCTTGGTGTAAGCAGACAGGTGACAGATGGTACCATCCCAGTGTCCGACACACCGCCTGCACCTATCAAAGCTCCGTGAGAGTGCTGCTGGCAGGTGAGAAGATTAAAAGAAATTGGAAGTCACTTTTCCCTGTTGGCATTTTTGCTTGTAATGTGTTATCAGCTAGCATAGATCGGCTGTCCAAGGCTCAGCTTCCAGTCAAATAAATACACCTCCGCTTGTCTGAATTCACACAACACAATCCGTTTCCTGGATGCTTCGATACAAAATGCTTCTTTTGGTGAATACATCAGTGAGGGGTCAGCTACTGCAGGGCCACATGTCTTTTTGAGAAGACAATGAGTGCTTTACTCTTTGTTTGCCTCTTTTGTCCACCAGGCAGTGTCCCTGCTGAATACCAACAACTTTCTGACTTCTACCCAACTAAAACTTCAGAATTAAAATGTTCCTAAATTACCGTATTGACCCGAATATAAGAAAAGTTTTTTTTCTTATAAATATATCTGAAAAGAGGGGTCGTACTATATTCGGGGTCTAGGCATTTAAACAGCAATATACATCCACAGCAGCAGTTGGCGCTAAATCCACGAAACCTGAATGTAACTCCTAGATTGCCAGCTCTCTGCCCAACTCCGCTGGTTTGTAGCACAGGTACATACATGTTAAGAGTTTGGTGCAAAAAAATAAAAAATAGGGTGTCTCTTCAGATGTGCGATTGTAGATCAGTCACACTCTGCAATGACATCTCAAATAACCTACAAGGCTACCTTAAATGATCTTTAAGCAGTCTAACTGAATTTTATTCTGGAGTCAAACCCACAAGTTTACGACAAGCAGTGCGAGTTTGCGCTGCATGTTAATACTGTCAGGCTGTAACTGTGTATTACTCATGCATTTATAATCTGCCTCATGTAAGGCTTTCCTCAGAGTGTGGTCTCGATGACAGATTGGTCGTAGGAAGCCAGAATGAGCCTTCTTTCAAGTCTGGTTTTAAATAAAGACTAATCAAACTTGCTATAAATAGAGATGACCAAACAGCTATCTATATCTGTATCCACAATGAGCCGGAAGAAGGCTAATATGTGAGAGAAACTGAATCATAAATTGAGCCATGAAGGCGGCATAAACAGCATCCAAGATCCCAGAATAAAAACACATATTTCCTCCCAGCTCTAAACTACAATTCAACATTGTGTCATGCAAATAATCCTGCTGTTTTAATACCTTGAAGAGACACAGAGGTCAGACTGACTGCTGCCAAAATGACACTTTTATGCACCTGAATGATTTAAAGCTTGTACACAGCTCTTGAAATAATCTTCTCCTTAGCACATAAACACATCAACACAACCGTAAATGAAAATATATTGGCATAAATCTGTAACATTTTCACAGAGAGACCAACCTTTGCTGTTTTCATCTTCTCCCGTCTCCTCCTCTTCCACATCCTCCACATCCTCCATATCTGCCGGGTCCATCTCAGCCTGGTCTTTACTGCTCCAGGAGACACAGAGAGAGAGAGAGAGAGAGAAACAGAGAGAGAGAGAGAGAGAGAGAGAGAAGGAGGGAAGGTCAGCCAAACCACAAGACACTTCAGTTTGTGCACAAAATTAACACCAGCCAACAAACTTTCCCTGGCATGTTTTGTGTCAGGCTGCCAGGGACTTAGGCCACCCTTCAAGCTGTTTAAGATACTCATGGGACAAGGAGAAGACCCCCAAGACTCGCATTTTATCCTGCAACCAGCGGCCAAACATTGTGATCAAATTGCCCACAAACTGCCTTATAGTCTCGCTTGCCAAAAATATTACCCACTCATTCGTGTATACCGTCAATACGTCCAATTACATGAATCATTGATATAAAGGCAAAAAAACTCAACATGGCATTTTCTGTTTTGTTTGCCAACTCCACACTGTCCTTTTGACATCATGTCATGCCTACAGCCCCCCCCCCCCACACTGTTTGGTGCATGTAGAACCGTGTTTCCCACACAGACGATACCTGGGCGGGTAAATTTCCGACCTGTTTGTATTTAATCTTTAATTTATTCATAAAATTGCTGCGTGCACGAGAGCAAGAGAGAGAGCGCGATCAAGTGAAGACGTGCGTGAGGATTTCAAAGCTAAAAAAAACCCACTTCCAAACCAAGAGAGCAGAATCACATCAGCAGAGAGAGGTCCACCGTCTGTAGATCTCTTGTAAATGCGCCTTGCTCCTATCAAAACTGAAGCTTCTCATGGCTTAATTTTTTAAATGTCAATGTACAGCTGCTTGCTGCTGATTCTGTGCTGAACTCCTATAGATAACAGAATATCGAGTGGACCTTTAAAAAGATGCTTAGGTATCGCGTCATTCTGTGGGAAACACTGTAGAAACAGAGAAGTCGGGAAGATTTAAGTGGCAGCTTGTCCTGAAATTATTTATGAGCGCAAGTGTGAATAAGGATTTACACGGACAACACGGCTTTGCTGGTACAGCAGGTTTATGTTGTTCTGAGCTAAAAAAAAGAAAAGAACTTGTGATATCTTCGTATTAAAACGAACAAATCTGTGTTGACAGGAAATAAATTAACAGGAAACTCTCATTAGCTCTTAAGGAGTTAAAGTAAGAATGATCTGGTGCAGCTATACTGAAATGCTTCACTCAATGGATATCTGAAGGACAGGGCTCAGTCTTATTCTCTTCACAAACAATACTGCCCGTCTCAGCAGTTAAAGATCCAGAGGCTCCAGTGTAACTCCAGCAGTGATCAAAATTGCAGGCCTTTGTTTTTCTACCCATGGTGCTGTTCAAAGCACTGAAACACAACACCATGCTTTAAGATGCAGTGCTGCAGAACACAATGATGAACACAACACAGACAGCCTCCTGTCTGTCTGCAGGACAAAGCTTAACTTACAGAGTTAGACAAGCATGTGTGTGAGGCGGAGGGAGATGGTACCCTCGCTACTGCAGCATCAATCTTGTTTAGAAGCATAAAGATGGATGGACGGATGCCACACACGGGGTAAAGATAGCATCGTCACCCTTACCTGAAAAGACGTGTTGGTGAATGTTCTATCTTTCCCCCGGGTGTGGCGTCAAAAATAGCCCGGGGATAAGTAAACAGAGCGTGCTGTGCTTCCCTCCGTTTAATCATGTTGTATATCTGACCATGGCAAAACAAGGCAGGTCACAGCAGGGGATCCCTGGCATTACAAACTTTAGACCTACAGAGGAAATAAGAGAGCAGCCGAGTGTTTGATACAGGGCGGCACTGGGAGAAGATTACTTACTTGTCGATGTCTGCCATCTTCGCTGAGTCTCAAGTGATGCTAAAGGGAGAGAGAGGAGAAAGTAATTAGTTTACCTAAGGACACAAGCTCATTAAATTTTGACTAACATTTGACTGCTAGGAGATCTGGGTCAAACAGCGTTTGCAAATAACTCCTCATGCTAATTTTAAGCTGCTTAGAGAGAGAGAGTACTACGGGGTGATGCTAAAGTTAGTAACACATAAGAACAATGGTTAAAAACAGCCTCATCATTTTTAAAACAAAAACAGGTGTGTCATCTGAGAGCTGCAGATCTTGGTACATTTTTTTTACATGGTGTGTTTTATTCACACGACTTGAATTAAGTTTTGGGATGACCTGGGCTGATTATAAGGTTCTACTTTAAGGACAACACTGGCCTATTTTAATGGATTGCGCTGGCTAAAACAAGCACAGTGCTTACCTGACTGTACTCTGACTGCTGAAGTTGGATTGCTATGCTTGTTTACAAAAGCCAGGCTTGACATTTGAAGTGAAATAAGTGTGAATAACAGTTTGTTTGCGTCAGTGGGTGACCGATCTGACACCTGGTTGGTAGAATACAGTGATTGTACTCATGCCTTTAAATCGAATTAATAAACAAGGTAGCAACACATTCAAGAAAAGGCTTCCTTTTCAGCCAGCACTGACTGACCCTCCCTGAAGCTGAAATAAAAAACTGCAACGGCAGAATAAGAGACTTATTAACGGATTTTAACTCCACTGTTCGGTTTGTGTTTGTACAATACGACTTTGTATACTTAACAGGCAAATAGAGAATAAAGCTGTTGGGTGTGAAGTTACCAAAATAGCGACAGCAGACTCAGTGGCGTTGCTTTGCATAGCAGCCACGCTTGGCTTTAAGTGTTATTTTTTCCAATGTCAGTTTGTTGCGTCTTTATGCAAATCAACAGGCTGAAATTGTTTGGAGGCTGAAGCAACAGATTGTGACGAAATCTCACCTCTTGGGTAATATTTTTAACTTTAATGTCAACATGGGGACATGTAGGAGTTGGGTTTCCCCCCCCCCCCCAAAAAAAAACTTTTCAATTGGTTTGATAGCATCTTACCCTCCTAAAAAAGTAAACTTCAAAAGATAAGGGTACAACATTGAAAAGATACTACAGACACACAGGGGTGCAAGAAATATTATCTTTCAAAGAACGCACAAAGACTGCCTGCTGACATGTATGCTACCTTTAAAAACAAGGTTCCCACAGGTCCACATTATGCACTCCATACAAGATATTGGAAAGTCACATCATGCTAAATGCACTTCACCATGTTTTTCTAACTCTAACATGTGTCCCTAGTCTGTCTACAAACCCCCAGATGATGAGAAAAGTCCATCCTCTCCATCTTTTGCCTGCTCCACTTTTCAGAAAGTGTGCTCAAACAGGCCGTTTGGAGATTTTTCCTTCATGACATCACAAAGGGCAGTAGCCCCTCCCCCAGGTGGGTGACACTCCTACAGCTAGGTGTTTGTTCTGCCCTCTGACTTCTCACCATAAACAATAGGACATGGAGCGAGAAAGCCAGAGACAGAGAGGGGGCGTGGTCAGACACAGCTCATTTACATATTTAAAGGTACAGACACAGAAACAGCCTGTTCTGAGCAGGGCTGAAATAGAGGGGTTTATAGACATGATCAAAAACAGGATCAGAGTTTATTCAGAACAAGGAACTTCACAGACATGTTTTGGGGACTTCTGAGACTTATTTAAACTGGTTGAAAAGAAGGAGAATATGTGACCTTTAAGACCTGCTTATGGGATGCAAAGAACACTTCCTTTTCTATCCTAGTTTGTTTTTAAGTTAAAAATTTATAAATATCTAAATATTTTTAGAGGGGGGTAAACGACACTACTCCTGCAGAATACAGCTCTTTGCAATACCTCCTTTAAGAGGAAATGAATATTAAAAAGGAAATCCAGCTGCCAACAATACTTCACCAACAGCCTGTATCTAATAAAAGATCAAAGAGCAGAGCTTTCTTTAAAATAAGAAGAAAGAAACCTAACTGGCAGCTGAGCAAGTTGCTCTTTGAGATTGTCTCAAACTTTATGTGTCATGTCAGCAATACAGAAACATTCCTTCAAATGTACGCTGCAACTACAACTACTGAATAAAAAACAGCCTGGTTGTCACGATGAAAAGGTTTCTCCAGGATGCAGCCTGACTCAGCTCCGCCTCCTATGTAGACATCTTGAGTTTATGACAAAGTGTGTAACCAAAATAAGAGAACTAAATAGGTCCAGCAACATGGAAGGTTAATGTTCGCTGCAAAGGTTCAAATTTTAGGTCACCTGCCACCATGACACATTTCTTCTAACTGGTAAAGAATATTTTTGTACAATCAGGGAATCAGGCTGTATTACAAAATCTATATTTGTACTTTCAGGTTACCGTGACTCAGTGTTTACTGTTTACAATTGGCAGGTGAGAAGACTCTGAATCTAAGACGATGAAACAAAATATTTACCCTGCTTGAAAAACGAGTGGTGCAATAGAATATCAGGTTTCAGTACTAATGTGTGATTTAGTGACTCTCCCTGATCCCAACACAGCACAAGATGGTCGTCTGTCTATATATTAAAAAACATTTTACATCATGTCTGTGCATCATTTTGGAAATGTGAAGTACTTAACATGGACTTTGGTCTTCTTTCAAAATAATTAAGTGTGATGCAGCAGCGCAATTAATAACATGTCAATTCTCAAAAAATGATAAATTGCATGATTTATTTCCTGCTCTGAGTGGATAACAAAGATTTAATTTAATCCTGATCTTGAATGATAGCTTCTGAAAGAAGTCCTTCTGTCTATTGGTATAGGCAGGACGGGGTCTGACTGTGACTCATTGCCTCTCAGAGGAGTTTTCCCTTGAGATGAGATTGATAACTATGGCAGTCTTTCAGAGCGGGGCAGATAGTGGAGACCAACACAAGAGGATCTTCAGCCATTGTGAAGAACAAAGGTATGAAGACTCGAAAGTTTAGCAGGAGTCTGTTTGAGACATATTTACTTTTCAAGTAAACTGGTTTTATGTGCAGTTCATTTGAGGGTAAAACTCACTGAACGGACCAAGATGTCACAACCGATTCTTGTTAAATTGACAAACCTCCAGATGTGTAATAACTCACTCACAGACTTCAGTTTAACACGTGTTGTATAACTTTAAGTGTTAGCATTCCTCCAGCCCCACATGTCCTGCCAGGTCCATAATTGATAAGAAAATAAAACTACCAAATCTGCAGCACAACAGTTAATAGATAAATTATTTTGTTTTCCTAGTTTCTATTGTAGTTTGATATTAAGAACACATCTGAAGCTACACTGGGTGAGGAAGGAAGTCTGTGACGTCTTCATCTCTGACTATTAACTTCCTGCAGCTGATAACTGCAGCAAGTTTCTGCATCCCCTTGCTACCAAATCATAACAATAGTCTTACCAGTCACTTGAAGTGTTGCATGTACTTGCAAAGCAATTTCTCTGCCTGATGTATGCAAACAATTGTGATTTAATCTCAACATTGCACCTCAGTTGAAGGTGGATCATTTCAGTTGCACAACTGACCTTTAAATCAGCTCACAATCTACACATTTTTTTAGGATGAGTAAGAACGAACATCCACAGATGAATCAAATGACATTTAGCAAAATAAAGCACTGACACTTTAACAGAGGTGACCTGTACCCAGAAGAGGATTAAGCAATGTTTCTAAACATGGCTTAGTTGCATGACATGCATAAATTATGTTACCTTTATTAATCATTAAAGAATATGGATTATCATGATTTTTATCTCTACATGAATTGCTTAATTCTAATTTAAACACACACATTCATGAGGAGCATAAATGTGACGTTTCTAGAAAAAATAAATCACCTGCTGCAAATGAAAATGACATTTCACTATGTGGCAAAGGCTACTAATCCTGGTTTTCGACTGCCACCTTCCTGCTGACACGCCTTCCTGTCAAGTCATTAATTGCGTTCACCGGTCATCCCGAGGGAATATCAGTCCATTATTAGATGATGACACTTCAACAGCTGCACTGATCTGCATCCCGAGGGCCCAAAGTCAAAACCTCTCCAGTCACATATGATCAGAAATCAGCCTCACAGGCGACACAGAAACTGAAGAAGAAGCCCAAGATTGTTTCAAAAAATGAGCAAGACGGATTCCCTTTACGCAGAGCCATCACATCGACAGCATCTCCCTATACATTAGCTGGCCTACATTCAGCTCATACAGAGCTGATGTGACAGTTCACCAGGCGCTGTGCAAAGTCACGTGGCAGATCAAATTGTTTCTCCCTCCGTACGGGGGGATAACTGATGAAAAGAGCTGCCTCTGCTTTGTGGTTTTAAACATGTCCCATTTCTCAAAACCAGACATGCATCCTGTCGCTTTTTAAATACGGGAACATACTTGAACGCTTTAAGGACGATCCAAATGCACAAGTATGGAAGCAAATACAGAAGTGTATGCTCCACATCACCCTGAGAAAATCTAGGGTGACACACTAACTGCAGCTTTCTTGCATGGTCCATTATAATCTCTAATTATTGATGGGAAAGTACAGTAGAAAGCTCTTAGCAGCAGCCCATATTTTTCAAAATGTATACAGTTACATAAAATGTGATGACAGGCTGTTTCAAGTCCAGATCAATAGATGCTTTTTAAAAAGGACTAAAATAGTTGCAAGGAGACAATATTGGATGAAAAGCTTAATAGGGATGAACGGCTCCAGACCTTTTAAAGACTATAAATGATGATTATAAGAAGCACAAGTGCATGAACGTCATGTAGAAAATGAACATGAGGGCACATGCAATACAATACACTGATCTGCAATTTCAAAACAGAGACTCAGCTTCAAATCTCAGGAACAGAACATCTCAATGTGACATCATAAAGTCATTACCGAGTTGTGATTCTAGACATCGCTTACTTATACATGTTCAGTTTTTTAGGGTAAATAACACTGAACTTAAAATGTGGTGGTCGGTGTTTTCACAACCGAGCTTTGCATGCTCACTATGATGTCATACGTTAAGTATTTTGAACTACGACAAAGCTACTTGAGGGGAAATGATAGCGTGGTAAATGTAATCTACTTCATTCATATGGCATTGGGAATAAATCAGCTTAAAGAGTACATGTGATATAACAAACAACAACTAAGCAATTAAGTAACATAGGTCACACAGGCCATTATATAAACCTAGAAAATTACAAATGCCTGGCTTTGTGGGAAAATGTGAGGAATGTCCACTTTGGATTCGAGTACAGCGGATGATTTGAGTACGAGTGGTACATGTATGGGGGTTGCACAAAGCAGGATACCTCAGTGAGCCAGGTACATTCTGACAACATGCCTCAACTACTCTCCACATTTGAAATGAGAAATGAATCATGCAGGTCAGAGGACGAAACAGACAGGACTGGTCAAAAGGCAGAGCAGAAAGCAATGCTAAAATACTATTACTTGTATTTTCAGAAGTTATTTCACAACAGATGTTTGCCTTTCACCGTTTAAAGCTAAGCGAATATAAACTTAGTAGTTCAATTCTGCTGTTCTCCTTTCCTAAATACGGCTAATTCCTAAAGCTCAGACCTGTGCATCATCTCTGCCCCGACACAAAACGTTTAAAAAATGAATTCATAAATATGAAATAATAATCTAGGTAGGGATGTGGCACCCAGCAGGTAACTCAGAAAGTCAGCATGTCAAAACTTCTGTGTTTGTTTACAATGCCTATAATTCTATACATAAGATTTTTTTTTAGGGCATGCCTGGTAGTATAGTAGTATTTAAACTTCATTGATACCCATTTTAATGCCACAGCAAGCCAAAAAAATAGTAGATCGACACTTGATATAGAGTATTTTCTTGTTGTGCAATTTTCAAAATATGGAAGTACAAACACTTTGGCACTAATATGATGCTTATGTCTTTATGCTTTTTAGATAAGTGTGCAGGAGGTTGCTTGCAATTTATTGATGGATTCATTCTTTCCGCTTCTGTGCACCATCACATGTCTTAACTACATTATTTAGTTTTTTTTAAAGCATCGGTAGTTTTCGTACCATCATTAAAATAACAATGTGTCATTTAGAAAAAGAGTTATAGAAAAGTATCAAATTTAGACAAGACATCACTGATTATGCATAAATAATAGACTTTCTTCAAATCGTATTTCAGTAACAAAAAGCCAACATATTACATATCCAAATGAATATCCATCAAGCAATAGATGTTCATCAGATGTGGGTGTATTAAAAACCTGTCTCTTTCCAGGACATGCTTTCTCCTCTAATCCTGCACAGAGACCACGTGTTGCATGCTCAGGTCCATCAATGACTGACAAGACGCCCTGACACATTTTATTAAACTTTATTTTAGCCTCAACCTGTTGGCACATCTACCTTTCGAGATGTTGCAACACACGTCCACCCGCTTTCTTTGCACACTACCCCAAATCAGGGCTCGTAAACAGGCCAACTTCAGCCGGCCTGCCCGGTCTTGTCCCCGCACTGCCTGTATGTGTGTACGGCTAGTTCAGCTAAGCTAATGTGCGGCTAGCTCGATGCGCACTGAGTGGGAGGAACAGCTTCTCTGGACACGGCGCCGTAAGCTCGGAAATACGGGCCGGTTTAGGAAGTGGTGCCAACCCCATCAGCACCGTGTTTTAACCGGCCAAAGTTAAGCAATATCATCGGCTATTCAGTCAAACCTAATCCTCATTATGTATCCTTAAGTCCAGACTCACATCCCATGTTCTCCACCCTCCAAAAAAAAAAAATAAGGTCAACTCCAAAAAATAAAATTTTAAAGACACGTGTCAACAAATGCCGGCATTAAAGACAATTACACGACATTATCCCTTTTTCATATGCGTTTTTGGTGAGACAATCGGAGGACAAAGGGTGCACATAGAAATCCCTGTTTTTATTATTTTTTTTCCTCGTTAACACACATCATGGTGGAGCCCCAATGGCTGCTGCTTGTCTCACTTCACTAGCATTAGCAGAGCTCCGCCGTCTTCCTCTGCTGTCGATAATTCAAGCAGCACAATGTAAAAAATAACTTCTAAAACGACAAGCAACTTTAGGGCGTTGTCACCGAGGCCATATGAAGGTCCTGTCTCCCCACCCCCCCTTACCTTGGCTCTGTGGGCCGGGAGGCTGAGCTGGTGAGGCGGCGCTGCGCAGTGAAGAGGTCCCGGGGAAGAAAGAGACTCCGCTCCGATGGCGGTAAAAGGGGAGACAGATCCCGCCGCCTGCGCTCATATACATCCGACGTCATCACGTAAACCGGCAGTCACCGAGGCAACGCTGCTCTTGGGAGGGGCAGCAGCGAGGGTGCCCCATACAGGGGGGAAAACAAGAGCTTAGAGTTTCACTATATGTACACCACCACCATCATCTTCTACTTTTCACCCTCTTCATCACCTTTGTCTTCATCCTCCTCCTTTTTCTCATAATCATCTTTATAATCAATGTCATCACCAGTAGTTTTATCATCCCACCATCACTCATCTACCCGCTTAATACATGATGCAGTCATCTTCTCCACTCTTGTGTTTTATGCAGACTGTGCAACAGGAGTTATTTCCAGCATGTTGTATGTAGATTTATGTCTACAACAGGCATGTCTGTTTACATGAGGATGGTTGTTTTCTTTCATACTACTCCGGAGGCAAATAAATGAGCGCAGCACAAAACATGTTTCCCCAAGGGGACAATCATATCTTATTGTGTCCTATCGTGTCCTATCCTACTGTACCCGATTGCATCATGTTGTATTGTGTCATATCTTGTCTTATTGTATCTTTTAAGAGCTCACACTAATCATCATCATCATCTTCCAGTTATATTTTTTAAATAACTAATATGGGCTTCTATGTGGATTATTGTTTGATTTTTCCCTAAGGAGACAATCTTATTCTGTCCTGTCCTGTCCTGTCCTACCCTGTCTTGTCCTGTCCTATTGTGTCCTGTCCTACCCTGTCTTGTCCTGTCCTATTGTGTCCTATCCTGTCCTTTCCTGTCCTGTCCTGTCCTGTCCTATCCTATCCTATCCTATTCTATCCTGTCCTGTCCTGGATTATTGTTTGATTGTTATTGATTATTGTTACGATGGATTATCACACATACAGCCCAAGACTGGGACTATCCTGTCCTGTCCTGTCCTGTCCTGTCCTGTCCTATTGTGTCCTATCCTGTCCTGTCCTGTCCTGTCCTATTATGTCCTATCCTATCCTGTCCTGTCCTGTCCTATTGTGTCCTGTCCTGTCCTGTCCTATCCTATTGTGTCCTATCCTGTCCTATCCTATCCTGTCCTGTCCTGGATTATTGTTTGATTATTATTACGATGGATTATTGTTTGCTTTTTCCCTAAGGAGACAATCCTATCCTGTCCTGTCCTGTCCTGTCCTGTCCTGTCCCTGTCCTGTCATATCATACTGTACCCTATCATATTCCATTGTATTGTATCATTAAAGAGCTCACTCTCATCGTCATCATCATTTTCCTAACACAAAGAATCACCTTGCTGTAGCCATCGTCCTCCTCTTCACCTTTATCAGCAATAGACATTTCCCCAAAAAAAATCTGTTAAAATGTTTAACTCTAACTTTGAAAATATCAAAATATGTTATAATTTCAATGCTACATAAAGCAATAACCTAGCTCAATAACTGACTGATGGAATTCTCAGATTGCATTACTTTTGATTGAATGCATCTTTCAGTCATATAGGATAGGATAGGATAGTACTTTATTGATCCCCAGAGGGGAAATTCGGGCGTTACAGCAGCACAGACAAGAAAGCTCAAATACACATTAAACAGAAACAAGAAAGCTCAAATACACATTAAACAGAATATAATATTTCATGAGCATCAACTGCTGAGGAAACTCACAGATATATGGATTAAATATTAATCCCTAAAATCATACCTTTATGGAGCACCTTAGGCAACAGAAAGTAAGTAAAGAGAAGGTAAAATGTGCACACAAGATACTTTCTTAAGCTCAGCAGAAAATATTGCATACGCATATCGAGCACGTAAAACATTCTTGTGAGCATGAGATACCACCTGGTGCCTCTCTGGGGCTGCATAGATTTTGGAGCTGCACGATTGCATCAAATGAAAAAATCCTACCCAACATCTTTGCAAACTATTTGATATTTTCCCTATAGTTCAGCTAGACGTTTGTGATACAAAAAGTGATAGCTATTCCTTTCCTTTAATTTGATTATTGTTTGCACACAGTTAGCACTGCTGTCAGAGATAAGTGTGGATTTTCCTGTCAGTATTAGACAAGCTGCTACACCTCTCACATTGAAGAAACGATAGGAAAATATTTAATTGGCACTTGTCTAAATGCTGCCAGCTGTTGACAGCCAGCTCGATGATTAGCTCGGGTGCGATCACACTCACAGCTCGCTCTCTTCTTTCATACGTTGTGCTGCATGTCTTTTAGCCAAAGTTGATCAGAACCAACATCTTTTTAATCACAAGCAGCCTAACAGGAATGTTTTGATAATTCTACTTAAGTATTTAAATCATGTATGCATTCATATGGATATATTATTTTATCATCACATCATAATGTATCATCTTTCTTGACATTTATGGAGGTTAAGAAACACAAAGAAATAGTTTATAAGAGCATTTATACAGACTGGTAAGATATAAGCTTTCCCAGCATGCAACTGCTTGCATGTAAGAGTCACCTTCTATTTTTCCCCGCAGCCTTAAACTTCTTCGCTGTACTTGAACTTATGATGTGTTCAAGTACCTTTAACTGAACTGAGATCCTACGTTGTAACCATCAATCAGCATGATTAACCAATGATGCTACTTTTCTGACATCTCATTTGAAACGTCTTCGTGTCGGAAGTCACCAAATCCTTGAAACTTAAAACATCAAAAACTGTTGTAAGACATCTTATTATGAACTTTTAATCTTAAAATCTTGAACTTGACAACGGCAGGGTTACAAAGTTAGCTTGCTAACCAGACATTGTATGCTAACAAGTAGGCTTGCATTACAAACATATATGTTTGTTCTTATTACTTTCTTGGTACAGCTCTAATTTTTAATTGTGCAGGGTTTTGTAAAGATTACTTTCTTTTTTTTGCGCACTGGTGGTGCAATGGTTAGGGCGCGCGCCCCATGTATTGAGGCTATCGTCTCGAGCGGGAGGCCCGGGTTCGCGTCCACCCGTGGCCTCTTTCCGCATGTCATTCCCCACTCTGTCTCCCTGGTTTCCGACTCTATCCACTGTCCTCTCTCTACATTAAAGGCACAAAAGCCCAAAAATAAATCTTTAAAAAAAGAAAAGATTACTTTTTGGCTTTTTGCCTTTAATTGATAAGACAGTAGAGCAGAAAATCAGGGTGAGAGAGAGAGTAGGGTATAACATGCAGGAAAGGAGCCCCAGGCCAGACTTGAACCCAGGCCGCCCATACATGGGGCACGACCCTACCGCTAGGCCATCGACCGGTTTCTTTAAATCTTCGTTTGGGTTAATAGTACATATGGGAGAGGGGGAAGCGGGTGTTGTTAGATGTAACAAATGTCTCAGGTCATTTCTCTAACATTAATCCACAGGAAGAAGTCCAGTAGGACAACAGGGAAAGCTAATAATAAATTGAACAAGACAAACATTAACATGAACACGAACACTGTATGAACAACGGAAATGTTTAAAAAATGGTGAATGAGACAATAATGTGAGTTGAACTGTAATGAGATCTGCAACGAGCATTCATGCATCACGTCTCCTTGTCTCGCTTTGCTCTCCATGGAAATGTTCATTTTAAATTAAATTGTCAGGCTAATTAAAAAGGTGTTTTTTCTCTTAGTGTTGGAGGCTGTTCCAGATATAGAATCTAAGGAAACTCATACTACTTAAATAAAAGGAACCATTCGATATGAGCAGTTACAGCTTTTCCGTTTCTGCTATTAACATCTTGCTCTTTACACATATTACTTCAAGATTCATGAAAAAAAAAGAAATATGATAAAGTACTTTTTATTAGCAGCGCCGGTAGCATAGTGGTTATCACGCACACCCCATATACCAAGCTTTCAGTCCTCCAAAGTGGCTGAATTGTTGAATTTAGATTAGATTAGATGCTCTGGGAAAATTGGTGTTAATTTTCAGGCACATCCTAGCAGGTTTGGTTCCACCTGAAAATGCATTTGACCTTAACTGTCAAAACTGACAAATCTGAATAAGTTAAAGGTCACATATCCTCCTCCTCTTCAACCAGTGTAAATAAGTCTCAGATCTCCTCTAAACATGTTTGTGAAGTGTATTGTTCTAAATCCACTCTGATCCTGTATTTGATCGCGTCTATAAACCCCTCTGTTTCAGCCCTGCTCAGAACAGGCTGTTTCTGTGTCTGTACCTTTAAATATGTAAAAGACCTGTGTCTGACCACGCCCCCTCTCTGGAAGGGCTCGGGTGTCTCTGGCTTTCTTGCTCCATGTCCTATTGTTTACGGTGAGAAGGCAGACTCAGAGGGCAGAACAAACACCTAGCTGTGGGAGTGTCACCCACCTGGGGGAGGGGCTACTGCCCTTTGTGATGTCATGAAGGGAACATCTCCAAACGGCCTGTTTGAGCACACATTTTCTGAAAAGTGGAGCAGGCAAAAAATGGAGAGGATGGACTTTTCTTATAACTGGGGGGTTTGTAGACACATGTTAGTGTTAACATGGTAAACATGGTGAAGTGTATTTTGAATAAAATGTGACCTTAAATGTTCCAAAGGGAGGGTTTGCCTATAACTAGGGGTCCTACTAATGCAGACTGATCACTTGTGTTTCATGAATACGTGGAACCCTCAGAAGTTGATACATGCAGCAAACTCCTGAGCTTCATTTAAAATAAATTTATCAGTGATGACGCATGTGAAAACTCAGGAGGACTCAAACAAACTGTCTCTCTGTTGACCCTGACCAAAGCCAGAGGCAGACACTGTGAGGTTTCGTTGTGATTCATCCATCAGGCAGCAGCAGCCTCAGTGTTAGTAACACCCGGCGTGCTGCTCGCCCTCATCTCTCTCTCTCTCTGAGCTCTGATATCTGGCGCGAGCCCAAAGGTCACATCTGTCATCCTACGCTTCCCCACCGGAGGAAACGTTCCCACGTGTGTCTCCATGTCAGAAAGTCAGAAGTGAATATTTCCCTGAGTCATACCTGCCGGTAGCTCAGGAGCAGACAGAGGAGCAAATAACAGGAGGCGATCGAGG